CAGCCTTCGAANCCCCCTCCCCCCACCGTCCGAAGGTAACACATTTCTTTAAAAAACTTCTCTCAATGAGGGCCTATTTTAGTTCATTACGCCCCCACCCCACGTCGAAGCGTTGCTCATTTCTTTAAAAGAACCTTTTCCAGGGGGCTTAATTGAGTTTATTAATCCCCTCCCCCGAGTCCGCCACGTCCCATGTGCCACGAGGCCCAAGGAGGATAGATGCTCGGTGCCCCATCCGAGGCTGACTGGAAGTGAAAGAAAATAAGTGGGGGGTGGGGGAAGGGGAAGCTGATTTCAAACTAAATCTCTGGAGTTTGAGAGTGCAACACCCTTATAAATCTTCTTTGCTATTTTTCAGAACTAAGGAATGGCGAGGAAATCATTCCAGTGTCTGCGGGGCGTGAATCTGAGAGGTCAGCCATCTTCCCTCTTGGCAAGCCCGAGAACAACTTTACGATTGAAGTCAGAGTGAAAATCATGGACAAATACCTAGGAACCGCTGAGACCCGGTTTAAAGTGACTGTAAGTGAGAACTATTCATCAGTATCTAATTAACAATTATTCCACGAGCGCGCGTTGGATATGAGAAGGTAGATACTGGCAACGAGGTGCGTGATGCCGAGCTCACTTTAACCATCACATATCCAGCACGCGCGAGTGAAATAATTGCTTTGGTAAAAACGCCCCAAAATATAGAAAACCAAACTGAAATAAAAACGCCCTAAAACTCACGCGTACGCTTACCTTATTGGTAGAGCATGGTATCATGACTCATATACCATGATGGCTAAGCCAGTGAAAACTGTTGGGTTGCATTATCCAATGATACAGCTTTTAATAATGATCATTACACGATGATGTCACGGATGAGGTCAGTTAGCATGGCCTTGTATGTTTGGTGAGGCCAGACAATTCTCGCATGGCAGTCTTTGTGGCACAAAAGGCCATCCAACACATTCCTAAATAAAAGATATGACAACAAGATAATTCATTTTCTAGGCGTGATATGAATGACATAACAACTCTGTGGCAGATTAACTACATGCATTCTAATTGATGTACATTCAGGCCTGATTTTCTGTTCTTTCAGGTTCTAGAACCAAAATCAGTTGATTACGATCAAGTGTTCGGAGACATGCAGAGTGCGTCTGGGGACGAAGCAGGAGATCAGAAGGCATTCCAGTTGGCAGGAGCCGCCAGTTCTGTGTTAAACGCTAAAGTGGGCAAGGGAGGAAATGACAGCGCGGCCGCGGAGGAGAGAGCAGCGGTGCGTACTGTTGATAATACAAGAAAAAACGCTTGCGGTCTCGTCTGTTGAAGGGCTATGTTGTTCGCTTGCCGTTATAAATCAAAATCGGTGAAAATCCCTTTAGAAAGTCTTTGGAGAGGGAGGTGCACGTGGGGAATGAATCCATCCTTTCAAGAGCCCCATTCATGGGTTCGTAATAATGTCACTTGCTTCATTTGTTTTGCGAATAAGACTAGTATTAGCCTGTTCCAGGCTCTCGGTCAGTGTGGACGATCGACGAGCGACGAGCAGCAGGGTCTGGTCCTCCTTTTCGATCGTCCCCACTGACCGAGAGCCTGGTGCCAACAATAATCACTGTGTTCACAAAACACTCAGTTTTTCTCTGCATATCTGTGTTTTCAGTTTCGTGGTAAAGTAGCCGGGCAGCTGAGCAAGCTTCCTGTGGCAGATTTTGACGGCGTGGCAATGAAAGGTGAAGTGCTCAACTCACTGACACAAGCAACTGATGAAGTTGACGAGGATGCTCAGGTAAAAACGTTAACTTCAGTTTTTTCTTTTTTGGGATAGAAGTACGGTAAACTTTAAACTAGAAGACATGCACTGCCTCAAAATAATAAGTCGCTCAGGTGTAAAAAAGAGAAAAGAGGTGATAAGTCAAAACGTAACGTGCGTGGTTAATGGTGTTAAAGAGTACGATTTGGAAAATAGGGAGTGACCCATCATATACCGATTTGTACGTTCTCATTCTTTACCCTCTTACAAAAATGGGTCGGTTAGCAGTTCTCGTAAGGTCTCACATAAATGGCTTGATACTCTTTGAGAGGGTAATAGAACAAACAACAGAAACAATGCCCCCTAGTCCCAAAACTACACCATGACCAAGCAAAAGAATTACAAACTTACAAGAGCTGCAGCTCTTCCGACAAAAATGCGTCAGTCGTGTCATATGGAGGTGACTAGTGTCTTCCTGTAGCGGCATGTGTATAGTATTTTGGCACGTCTCGTGGCCAAGAAAGAACCACAAGCTGATACGTTTGCACGTGTTTTTGACAGAACGCCACAGTGAGCGCGTTAGATGAAATGGGTGACTTCCTGTCCGGTAGCGACAGTGCACGTGACGTGGAGAATGTAGCGAAGAGCCTGGGTTCTGCTATTGGCAATGTCGTCGGAGCCTCGATTGACTCGTATCAAAAAGCCGCGAATGGAACTTCCGCTGGAGATCCGGTAAGTAGAGCACATTTTACTAGAAATTTGAATTGGCTGGAAAGCTGTTGTATATTCGACGGCGTATGCGCCGCGCCTATGTCGCATTGATTATTGTGTTGGCCACTGTATGTTTCTATGGCATGGTATAAAATAGTTATGCCACACTTTTGAGTGATATACCTTGAAATATCCGACTTGTCACTTGTATTTCCGTAGTATACACACTCGCCTAAAGGCTGGTGTGTGTACCGAGAAAATTCAAGTGACTCTCATATTCTGCGATATATAACTTTAAAACGTTGCGTAACCAGTGTGTATTTATTTTGGTGTAAGCTTAGCCGTAAAATATCTGCTGTCTTTTCATGTTTGCTTGCAGAGTAAAAGTCGTAACAACACCAAGAACGCCCTCGGTGTAGTGGACAAGGTTAGCGGTGCCCTTCTAAAGCAATTAGCGGCTGGTGACAAACCAAAATCAATATCCTCACCAAATTTGGACTTGTCTGTCGGAAGAAAGACTCTGGACAGCATCAGCGGTGAGGACGATGATGAAGATGCCGAGGAAGGGGAGGGGATGGGGGGAGTCAAACTTCCCGACCCCATGGCACTGTTTGGAGGAGCCAACGCCTCTGTTGAGGAAGGAGCCACTAGTGCCATTGGTTCAACGGTCAGTACAAAAAAGAATAATCTTTAAATACTAAAAAGTGTTTCAGGTTCAAGTCAATCCGAAATGTCAGTCTGTATTATAACTTCATTGTGATTAGTCGGTGTTTTGATTCTTTATGTTGGCCTGTTTTTGGATTACTTAACACTGTCAGTATTAGAGCCACTCCGTGGAGGTGCCACTGCTAATTCCTGTTTATTCATTTACCTATTTACTTATTTATCTATTTAACGAGCTTTCATACGACTATTCATGTATTATATGACTGAGAAAATTGCGAACGCACACGCGTCAATTTTCACTGCCTTGCAAATTAAAAATTTACTGTAACTTGGCTTGCCCTCAGTCAATCAAAAGAAATTAATTTTCACAGTCATATTGTTATGAATATATTTCTCAATTTATTATTGTATTTTTTTATTTCTTGTGTCGGCGACGGTTGATCGACATGTTACCGACAGCTTAAAATTGGTGCCAATTTTTGCAATTATCAATGTTTTTCCTCTTGTTTTTAGCTCTCAGCCATGGATAAGAATCCGTTTGCTTGGGATAACAGCTCAAGCGATTTAAATTCCAAGACAGTTGGTTTATCCCTCACAGACGGTAACGGTAAACCACTGGACTTAGCAGGACAACAACTCGAAATGTTTGTACCGAGGAATCTGAAGATAAATCCAGTGAAAGCCATGGAACTGAACCACTTTGAAGACGGCGATCCGCCCATGCGTGTGCATAAGTTCAATCGCTCAAGCATCGAATCAGCCATCGCTGTAGAAATGAAGTTCTTTCACCCAGATATCAAATTCATGGCGGCCGTGAGGTACGACAAAAAACCAACTGCGAACCACTACGATTTTGCGCACAATTTCCCGAGTCAAACGGAGGCGAAGAAAATGAAGAAACGCCCTCACCCATTCACGTTCGTGATTCCACATGTTCTTATCAATCCGCTGTTGATTAATGGACAGAATGGAAGCGACAATGCCACAGATCTGGCGACACTGCTTGCGAATGTGACCATCAAGCAGTTTTATTTGGGCGTGAAAATTCTAAACAAGGATGACTTGGGTAATGTGAACACAAGCTACGCGCTGAGAATCTACCTGCCTTCGTGCAAAATGTTTAACGAGGATAAAAATACCTGGACGACAAAGGGTTGCGAGGTATGAAACGATTTTGAGGTAGTTTGCACTTATTTAACTGTAGTCTCCATCGCTTAAGATTTGGTGTTTAGAAGACTACTGGCTCTCAAAATATTTCTAAATTTATTCAAAATTAAAGTGGTCTTTCTCGATTTCTCGATCGCGTTCTGTTGTAAATTCGCAAATGTGATTGGCTGTCTCGTCGTTTTAAATTTTCAGCAATGGACTACGATCGCTCTATGGCTACAGAAATCGTAATAACCAGGCCATCGTTATTACAGAACGTTCTCGTGTTCATATCGCATATCCGAAAAACCGCTTGTTGTGATTACCAGCCGCTGGTTGAGAAACGAACCTGCGGTTCATGTCAGATGAGCGGAGGAAATCGAGCTTACATAGTCCTTGTCTAACAGATATTACTGTTGCTACAACAACAAATCACTATTCATGCATACTCTTAGAAAGTTTATTTTTTTGATTATTTCGTTGTCATCAGGTTGGACCCAAGACCATCGCGAACAGTACACACTGTCTATGTATACCAGGCGAGGACGAAGAGGAAGACGAAGACGAGGATTTCGAAACGACAACTGCTGCACCAACAACTTTGGCAGCCACAACTCCTGGGTCTGACGGAAACGCGGACTCTCAGTCTGGTAATAAGGTTATCAAGCGAAGGCGCTTCCGGAGAAGTGTGAACAAAGTGTCCATTGCAAGTAAGTATTAACTATCTGTTAGAACACAAGCGTAGGGGAATTTTTATTTTCTGATAGCTGTTGTAGAACAGAAACCACAGCTATATCATCTGGCAAATCACAAACAAATGGAAATTATTCAGTTAACCAACCAGAACTGTGGAACTCAACCTGGTGCTAAAGACGGGTAAACACGCAACCGGTGCCAAGTGCGGGAAAACATTCAATCCGTGCTTACCGCGGAAAACAGGCAACCTGTACTAGGCGCGTGAAAAGAGACAATTTGTGCCAAGCGCGGGAAAATATGCAACTCGTTCTAGTTGCGGAGAAACGGCCAATTTGTACCAAGCGTGGGAAAATATACAACCCGGCGTACTAGTTGCGGAAAAACGGTCAACTTGTCCCGAGTGCGGGAAAATGTGCAACCCGTACTAGTTGCGGAAAAACGGTCAACTTGTACCAAGTGCGGGAAAACATGTAACCCGTTGTAAGCTTACTGAGGAAAACAAGAAACCTGTGCTAGGTACGGGAAAGCATGCAACCCTTGCTAAGGAAGGTAAAACAAGCGATTTGTGCCATGCAAGCAAAAATTTCCTCATAAATCCACGACACACTTGTAAAGTGTTAGGGTCTTAGTTATTTGGCGAGAATTCTAACAGGTCAGATCGATTTGGTTGCACTGTTTCCCTTGTACTCTGCTTTTAATCCTAGTTTTCTTTATAGTCACAGGCTGAAGTTGTTAAAATCTTAATTATGAATTATTTGGCTGACTGGTTAATTTATCTTTCTTCACAGGTAGCATGTTCGTGGCGCCAAACCCGATCGACTTCAACAAAGTATTTAACGCTAATCTGGCGGAAAATCCTGTCGCTTTGGCCGCCGTTCTGGGAATATTCGGAGTCTATCTTATACTGGCTATTTATGCCCGAAGAGAAGACAAAAGGGATGTGCATCGGGTATGGAAAATTTGCAATAACTGTCTGCAATAGCACCATACCGTAAACTGCCGCTTACTGAAGAGCCCCCCGATTATGCCTCCCGGTTATGGGTCCATCTACCCGTAAACCAAAAACTACGTCCGATTATAAGACCCCCGCGGATATAAGCCCCCCTACCTAACTTGCCTTGTTTTGAATTTGATAACCTACTTTGATCAACACAGCTTCAGCTTGTTTCCAACCGGTTTTTTAATTCCGGTTATAAGCCCCCTCGGATATAAGCCCTCTGCTTATGAGCCCATCTAAAACCTCTTGTAAAGTTGCACAGGCCCAGGAATTATAAGTGGCTGTTTACGGTATACAGTTAAGCAGTTTTCCCCCTTACCTAATTTCCTATGTAGAGACGTGCTCACGGCTCGTCACGCATCCTCCTCCAGGAGAGAGTGCGTGATGAGCCTGAGGGGCGTGTGCCCAGGAGATTACCTTTTACTCAGCAAGAAACGATGGAGATTCCCGTAAGGGTGAGCGTGAGACCGTAAGTGCCCCTTATGGGAGGTGCCTTCCTTACTATGCCGGGTCTACGGACGTATCTTGATCCCTTCTCCGAGGCCCAAACCTCCTAAGTAATTGCCAACTAGTGCTTAGGGTTTATAAACCCGGCACTAACTAAAAGCACTCTGACATCACTGATCTCTAAATCAATAACGATTAAAACTTGTACCTTACATTCTGTGAAAAAACTCTACCGACTCGAAGAATTCTCCGTTTTCCTTAAGAACCCCATTTCATCAAATTCTAGGCTGGCTTAACTCCTCTTGAAGATAACGAGCCTTTTGATCAGTACCATTACGAAATTACGGTCTACACTGGGTACGGTAAACGAGCAGGTACTACCGCTGAAGTCAGCTTTATTCTGTCCGGTGAGGAAGGTGAGAGTGAACCACGCTTGTTGAAAGATCCCAAACGGAAGACGTTTCAACGACGCGGCATCGACGTCTTTCTGGCAACGTTTCCGGAAAACTTCGGAGAACTGAACTATTTACATCTCTGGCACAATAATGCAGGTACGCTTAACTTCAGGAAATTTGTGCATCGGTGGAATGGAGGGCTTTCTAAGTTTATGCCGAGCGTTGTATAATCGGATCTGAAAGCAAAATCGCGACCTGTTCAGGCGTTTTTCCCGCCAACTGCTTTGAGTTGCTGGTTCATTTTGTCGTTTGTAAAGGCAATACTATGAATGCGGACTGGAGACTGGAGGTGAAATGCAGACTGAGCGTAAACTGCAGACTGCAGACTGTAGACTTTTTAAGTATATATCCTGTTATTTCCATCATCGAGTTCTAACTGTGAACAGGGTTATTCAGGCTCCGCTTAGCCTAGACATCACTCAGGTTAGGTTAAATAACGATCCAGATACCCTGTTTACGGTAAGTTCTCAATGATGGAAATGGTACCACGATTCAATTAAAAGGTCTGCAGTCTGCATTTTATCCTCAGTCTAGATTCTCAGTCTGCGTTTTACACAGACCGATTAAGTACACTAGTGCAATTAAGGATTCACAGTACGAGTGGATCTTGAAAATTCTGTCAAAATTGGGCAAACCTTTAGGCGTCGCTAAAATAAGATGTATCGCTTAATTCATTCTTTTCCTTACTATTTCTATGGCAGGTCGCTCACCGTCGTGGTATGTCAGCCGTGTGCTCGTTCACGACCTCAACAACGACAAGAAGTTTTTGTTTATCTGCGAGAGCTGGCTAGCGGTAGAAGAAGGAGACGGTACAGTCGATAGGTTGATTCCAGTGGCAGGCCACGAAGAAATGACGAGCTTCAACCATCTCTTTTACTCCACTACTCAAAAGAACCTCGCCGATGGACATCTTTGGTTCTCGGTTTTCATCCGCCCCGCGAAGAGTCGTTTCACGCGACTTCAGCGCATAACCTGTTGTTTAACACTGCTCTACTGTTCCATGATCACAAACGCTATGTTTTATCAGGTTGGAGGCGAAACCGACCCCGCCTCTACCCTACAGATCGGACCCCTGGCTTTCAGCCCCGCTCAAATTGGTATCGGCATTATGAGCAGTTTGATCATTATTCCTGTCAACGTTCTCATCGTTGGAATCTTTCGTAACGTTGAAGCGAAACCAACGAGAGAGGAACTCAGAGAGAGACGCAGCAAACGAACCTGCTGGTGGTTCCAGGAGTTGTTTTTCTGCTTCTTCGATTTCAACAAGAACGACAAGAACGACTTCATTGAAATCTTGCATACAGGATCAAAACAAGAAGAGCAGTTCTTGGACTTCAGTTCCAAGACAAACTTAGCGGAAAACGATGAGGTCGCTCTTGGTTTAGGCGTCGAATCCGAGGACATCAGTTTCAGAATTTCTAAGCAAGAGCGAAAAGAGGAAATGGAGAAAAAGATGAAAAAGAAAAAGAAGAAGAAGAAGAAGTTGCTGCCGTATTGGTTTCTCTACATCGCTTGGGGCATTTGCTTCCTAACGTGCTTCACAACAGCCTTTTTCTGTGTCCTGTACGGTTTGCAGTTTGGTAAAGAAAAATCAGCCCAGTGGATTTCATCCATGTTGATCTCGTTCTTTCAAGACGTACTCATCAGTCAACCAATCAAAATCCTTGGCATCGCCCTCATAATCGCCATCATCATCAAGAAACCCCCCGAGGAAGAAGAAGAAGATGAAGACAAAAAGAAGCTCGAAGACGAGGAATGGTTACATGATGGTCCAAGACGAGGTCAGTGCGACTACACCTGTTCAACCCCTCCCCACCCCCACAACTTCACTTTAAAGGTGCTCAGTCACCGGTATTTTCAGTTACTTTGGCTACGTACAAAATTGCCTTTATATTGAAGGAAACCTGAAAATAGCAGTTTACTAAGATAGAAAAACAGCAAAGAGATAATAATAAACCGTAAAGGAACAAGAAAGGTTAAGGATGGAGAAGACTAACAAGGATTGCAAACGACGAACTTGAAAGACGACACACACACACACACACACACACACACACACACACACACACACACACACACACACAAAACCAACATGCGCAAACCGTGACGTAGCTCCTTTAATAAGCGCCACTCCTCTCTCTCCCAAGATGGTAAACAACTATTATTTAATTGTTTGGGGAGAAATAAAAACTAATATTTTCCAACGCAGCAGTGTATCTTACGGAGGAACAACAAAAAATTATGGAAATTAAAAGCGAGGGATCTTGATCTTGTGGTATTCAATGTAAATGAAAAATAAATGTAAACCATAGTGTCTACAAAAAATACTTATTTTCGCAGTTTTCGGCTCATTTGCCGTTGTTAGTTAAATGTCAATTGATTTTCTGTGTTAGGTAGCTATTCCGTTGTTTTAACACTTGTTACGTTTTGGAGAGTACTAATAACATATTGTCGTAATTGATTTCTTTCACAATCGATTTTTAAGGCCCCTAAAGTTTAACCAAGAGGTAGATAGAATCTTAGAATTGAGAGCATGCTTTTAGGTAACGTTTAAGTATTATAGTCTGTGCGTTCTGTTCTGATAGTCATATTTGTTTGTCAATGCTTTCATTTTCCATTTTTATTTTCAGAATCAACCGACAAAAGAGTGAAGCCAAACTCTCTGATTCGTTTACAGCCTCCTGACAAAACAAAATTGGAAAAAGCAAGGCAACTCAGGTACAATGGCTGGCTGTTTTGGTGATTGTTTGATCGTTATTTCTATAGGGTAAAGATTACACTATGTGTACCTAACGATCTCTTGAATATGCGAACATAACTAATAAGGCGCATGGATCGGACTGAGTTTACTGTGTGCGCATGTCGGGAATAGGCGCATGTCTGTAAACAGAACGAAATTGAGCGGAGTAACTGTTTCAATGTATAGGCAATACTTGGATTATATGATAATCTATTGACTTACAAGAACCAAAGCTATTTGCTAACAAGACCATTACTGTTCAAAGGAAATAATTTATCTTCGCCATCTATTCCACGAGGTTTTTATGCTAGTTGGATATGAGCTGACAACGTATATTGTAGCAGGTGGCTACATTCATAGTGTTCGAAATTTCTTAAGGTCATTGAAATATATGTCTAATTTTATTCTGAACAGATGAATAAGCCGAACGTTATCGACTGTTTCGTGCAACGTCAAGTTTATTGAATAAACTAACGACCTTGAGCATATTTTGAAACTGGTTTGAATTGATTTCCAAACCGCTTTGATTTCTTTAAAATTCGTGTACTACAAAAAGCCTGTAATTTTCTGGAAAAAAAGATATGTTAAGACCCTATTTGTCTTTGTGTGGCACGAACCGATTGTTTCTCATAAACCCGTTTATAATCTTATTTTCCAGGTTTAAAGAAATGAAGATGAATGCCATCATCAAGGAAGTTGCACTCTACGTGTTTTTCGTGGCCTGTCTGTGCATCGTCAGCTATTCTCATCGAGATCCAACTTCCTTCGCTTTCAGGGAAACAATGTACAACTCATTTGTGGCGGGTGTTCACGGAGGCAAAAAGAACTTTTTATCGGTACGTAGCGCCGGCGCAGTAGCCGGCGTCAGCGGTTCGGTCACTTAATATTACGATGGACTTTGGGTCAAAGTTCAGTTTAGTAACTATTAGGCAACCACGCCTCGCACACGTGCAGGTGGAGTATCAGTGTTATAATTCGCTTCACGCAGTGCCGTACCATGCTGTTTTGAGTGATTTTCCTTCTTATTCCGCCAGTGGAATTGTAAGTACAGCTAAATCTGTCGAGGGAACACCTAGTCTTATTTAAGACTGGCGCTTAGCTCCGGGTTCCGTTTCATGAAGTGGAAGCCGCTATTGCAGCTCACCACTGGAATTTTTCCTGTGCTCTTCGGAGGCCCCGTCCACATGACGGCGGAGAAATTTGAAAAGGCAGCTTTATTTCTATGGTTAGGCCTACAGTCCACATTAATCCGTCACGAAAACGGAGCTTTTCGAAAACGCTCTTCAAACTGGAGGAATTTGAAATCGATGAGGTCACAATACTCATATGATTTCCCTGTTCGAGTTTTCCTCTAACACAAATCTAAAACGACTGGTTATTGTTGCATTTTTTAAATTCCTCCCGCGTGGTGTAGACGGAAAACACTTGATGCGTTTTCAGAGTGAAACCTCCGTTTTCAAATTCAGTTGGTGTAGGGTGGACTGGGCCTCAGGCATATACCGGCCCCTGTTCTTGCATTTGGGTTAAACATAAACCATGAACTGTGGACGTACAGTCTGACCTACTGCATTTAACTCAATCTATAAAACGCCATTGGAAAAACAAGTTACTAATCCTTAGTTGCAGTTTGATTTACCAAGAATTAATTCTGTGTCTTATCGTACAAAATCTAGATTGGAAGCCGTGAAAATTTCTACCTGTACGCCAAGACGACATTGACGAACGCTCTGTACACCACGGAATGGTACAATGGAAACGAAACTGAACCGGGCTTTACTGCGGATTTGACGGCCTACATCATAGGGATGGCGAGATTAAGACAACTCAGAGTCGGAAACCGTGAGTGATTAGCAAAGATTTCTCTCTTTGTTTTCTCTTTTTGATTTGTTTGTAATTCGATCGTAGTAAAATGAGAGAATTACGCTACATGAAAGTAGCGAGATTGGTCTTTAATAGAGCGGATTTTCACTTCAGTGGCCAAACGGCAATTCGCATAACATCTACGTTAAGGGACTGGCTTAAAAAACTTCGCAAACGTGCCTTTACTTTGAGTTTTGATTGGTTCACTGGATTGTCCGTGCAATATTTGTGATTGGCTCCGTTAGAGTGCACGTGATTACTTTAATTTTGATGTTACGACACAAATGAAAACTGCGCCGTACTGAATGTGGTGTAATTCCGGCCTGGTGCCATACATGGGTTGAGTTTGTTGTTGGTTCTCGCCTTGCTCCGAGGGTTTTCTCCGGGTTCTCTGGTTTTCTTCCCTTCACAAAAACCAACATCTCCAAATTCCAATTCAAGCGGGATAGACGTCGCCGCAGTGAAAACCACCTAAGGCTGATGTGTCTTCCTCTCTAAATATTGTACTTTATTTATTTTATTTAAATCATCCAAGACTTTTGATTCTTTTTTAATCGACAGAAAGTTGCCAAGTTGCACCGGACTTAAGGCGTTACATCGACGATTGCCATGACTGGTATGGGTTTTTCGCTGAGGACGATGGCCAGTATGACATCGCATGGGAGTCACTGAAGAACGAGTCTCTCTACAATCCTCCCTTTACATACCAGGCCTGGGAGTTCAACACTTCAGATGAACTTGACACCATGCCTGTTATGGGTAAGAGTGCACGTGAACACACTGTGCGTCTCCGCTAATTTCTAAAATCTCATGATCTGTTGCTATAATTAATAAAGTTAAGGCTGACCGGGTGAGGTATCCGGAGGAGGCGGTCTGTATTAAGTTACTTTAACAACTAACCAGCACTGAAACCCTTAACCTTTACAGTCAGTACACTCCAACCATGAACACTTGGTATTTTTTGAACATTTTTTCAGTGACCATAGAATGCGGACTCTTCCTTTTAAAAAGATCATTTAGTGTATTTACACTTTAAAAATGCTAACATTACACATTATATGAAGAGCCTTTATTCTATAGTCATAAAAAAAA